CACCATCAGCACTCGATTACTTCAGTCTGACTGAGTCCACATGTTTGGTGTCTTCTTTCTGCAGCAGGAGAAACAGCAGCAGCAGCAGGAGGAGGAAAACCTGAAAGCTCCAGAGTTTGTCAAAGTCAAAGAGAAGCTCAGACGGACGTCCTTCCACAGCAAGGAGGAGAAGGAGGTGTAGGACGGGCCGCTGGTTGACGGGGTCCCTGAGGACACCGACCTGCTGGGGACCGAGCACATAATGCATCTGAGTCAGAAACAGCTGGAGTCTCACATGAAACACTTCAGGGAGAGTTTGATTCAGTATTGATCAGCTATTACTCAGTGATGGATGAGTGACTGATGACTGATTGGTCAGTAAGCAGGACGTTCACAGGAACTGTTCATAATCTGAGAGAAAATCAATCAGTCACGTTTCTGTTTAATTTTAGTCTGTGATCATGAACTCAGATCACTCTGAAGATACTTCAGAGCTTCAGGATTTGCTGAGGTTCTACAGACTGACGGTTCCTCACGGACTCACTGGTTTGATGCTTCTGGACTGAGGTCTCAATGTTAAGACTTTGATCGAGAGTTCATGATCGGTTTAATCAGAGTTTTTTAATTACAGCAGCACATTCAGAATGTTTAGTTTAACTTTATCTGTAAAATGTGTCTGAATAAAGTTTAACAGTGACAGAAGCTTCAGACGAGGAGCTCCAAACCCCAAGCCTAAACTCAACCTAAACTTAGCCTAAACTCAACCTAAACTCAGCTTAAACTCAACTTAACCTTGTACACTCATCACCTGATCAGTCTGACCGTCTGTTTGATCTGAGGTATGTTTTTAACAAGTATGTGGTCAACAAAGATCAGCAGCTTTAAGGTTAAAACTGATGAACGCTAACGAGTGAATCTCTGCTGTCGACATTAATCAGGCTTCATTCAATCGCTGCTGCTGCTACAAATTGTGGAAGTCTTTTAACTCGTGTTTCTAGAAGAGCTGAACGTCACATAACAGCCCGTCTGACAGAGCGTCATCTGATTCTAAGATCTGCTGGAGGCGACCGAACCAGAGCAAAAAACCAGAACCTTCTCTTACTGGGTTTAAACTGGAGCTTTTCTGAGTGGCATTTGGTTGGAGGCTCATTGTGGAGCTGCAGCTAATGGCTGCTTCCACTGAGGATTATTTTCTGGGAGAATCAATCTGCTGCTTTGTCTTTAAAATGTGTCATAAATGTGAAAGATGCCGATCAGAGCTGCAGCCGCTTATTCAGCCTGAGTTCACAAAACTCTGGTTTTCCGTGGAAACAGACTGTGGGTTCTGCTGGGATGCATCGGTTCCTGCAGACTGGACCTGTCGCCGGCATGTTTCCGTAGAAACGTTCTCTGCTGCAGGTTTCTGAGGATGAATCTGTGCCTGAACCTGCCTGACGTGGGCTCATGGCTGTGAGAGCAGCTGAGGAGCTGCCGGGCGTTCAGGAGAACAGACGTCTGCTGCTGGATGTGCAGCAGGAAGTGGAGGCCTTGGCTGTGGAGATGATGGACAAAAGAAGGGAGCCTGACAGACACTGAGGCTGGAACAGGACTAGAGAGCCTTTAGACTTCTCTGTGTACACGTGGATCTAAAACACTGATTTTTACTTGATGTCTTTCTGTTTGTGTGTTTTAAAGTTGTTCTGATGTTCGCAGTCACAGCTGAACGAAACCAGAACCTCGAGCAGAACTGATCTTCATTAAAGGACTAAACCTGCTGCTGGTTGACTCAGTGTCACATTATTCATTTTATAGAAGTGTCAAGAACTGGAACCAACACGTCTACGGTTCTACTGGGACATGAGGAGCTCAGATTCTTTTCATATCGTTGCGTCCAACGTTGTGGAATAAAACAAAAAACCTGATTTTTTAATTCTTATGTTTTTGAGTGTGCAGAGGGCTGCAGGTGTCTCAGTGGTTAGCACCGTGGCCTCACAGCTAGAAGGTCGATTGATTCTGAAGTAATTTTAAAAGACTTTATCGAAACTCCGATCTGAACAATCAGATTGTTGCTTGATTTTAACCCAATAAAACACATTTTGGGTATTTAAAGAGACCAAGTGCCCAAAACACAGACAGCAACTTATATCAATATATATAATATTGACGTCTTAAAAATAACTAAATAAAATAAAAATGTATTGAAAATAAACAGACATGAGGAAATAATCAGAAATCGCATCAAAACACAAAACATTATCAATACATAAATCATTTAAAGATAAAAAGAACAATTTTTAGATATTATTTTTCTGAGTTTTTTTTTTTTTTAAATTTCTTTAGCGCCAACAAAAGTTCTTTAATTACAAATATTTCACTTATTTTTAAAATGAAGGACTGTCGGTGGCGTCTACAACGTTGTAGGAGTAAATTAACTCCAGAAGGTGGCGGCAAAGTAACGCTGAGGATGCTGCCGTAAACACCTCGAAGAAGAAGAAGAAGAAGAAGAAGAAGACGAAGAAGAAGAAGAAGAAGAAGAAGAAGAAGCAGAAGAAGAAGAAGAAGAAAAAGAGAAACAAAAGCCCACGAAGAAGAAGAAGAAGGAGCCGTGAGAGGGTGGAGGAGCGTTTCGACATGGCAAACAGGTGGGTACATTGTATTAATCCAACATTTTTTTAAACCTATAAATATCACGGTCGGGATTAGTATTCTCTTGCTCTACTTTCTAGCAACACCTGGTGTGATGTTGGAGCCGATGAGCCGCCTGCTGCACTTTTATAATTCAAACCGTTGCGTTTCTGGACAACCATGCTGGAACGTGCTGCTAGCTAGCTGCTAGCTCGACAGGGTTAGCTAGCAGGTTGTAAGGAGTGGTTAACGGACGGAGCTAGCAGACTGGGGTGCGACGATTACAGCACTTTACATATCTGTACTTCAATAGCTGCAGCTTGTAGGACTTTCCTAACAGGGGAAAATATCCAATTAAGACGTAGTAGTTCTTAAATGCCCAGTCACGTTGGCTGACAGTTAGCCTGCTAGCTTCCATTGGAGAGGTCCCACTATAGCCGTCAAGCAGAAAGGCTGGTTCTGTGTGCTGTAGTCTGTAGAACCGACTGGACGGAGCAGGCCTGTGTGAAAGCCACTTAATCGTATTTTGTGAGGGTTTTTTTTTTTTTTTGGCAATACAGTAATTTTGTAGTTTCAAGAGGCTTCCTTGGTATTACCCATGTCTGCTTGGGAGGTTAAAGGAAATGTGGGTGTAGATTAAGGATGCCACTAACGATTAATTTCCTCTCGATTAATATCTCGCCGATTAATCGACTATTTGACTGAAGTGCATTTTACTTTAACTGTGTGTCATCGTGTAATGCAGCACAGTAAGAAATAGAAATCAAGGTTAACATGTATTAAAGTGCTATAATGAAGGTTTAAACTAGAAAGCTCCAAGATGATAAAGAATAAATAGAAAACATGGTTCACTATTTCCAGAAGCAGTGCAGCTCGAAAAGAAAATGTAAGCCTCTTTTTGGGAATTACAGAAGTGGAAAAAGCACGGACCCGCTAAAGCAGCTTTTCTTCTTGTTGTATAGTTGCTGTCTGACTTTTGGTAGTGGCTCACCTCACGTCTGACAACAGAAAAATACGCAAATGTAAAATTCTAGCTTTATCAGGGATTCAGCCGTTTTCAGAGAGGCAAACAGCTGTGAAGTGCCTCTTTTGTGCTTCTCTTCAGGTGTTTGTGCATTTCGTTTCGCTGCCGTGGCGTGCACTCGAAACCCAGCACAGTGTACGAACCACCTTTTTAATTCTTTCATCGTTTGAAGTACTGGCATCTTCTCAAAGCCTCGAGACTTTGAGAGCTGTTACATTTACCTGAGTGGGACTCTGCATTGTCTAAAGCTGTAGCTCGGAGTGCAGCTGTCCTATGACCGGAGCTAAAAATGACATTGCCGTCACGATCAAACAATTATGATATTGAAAAATGCAGAAGTTTTAAAAAGTACGCCGCCTCAGAATATTGATGGAGACACATTTTGAGCATTGATGCTGTCATTTATGTCGACTGATCACAGCAGCCCTGCACCTGTGTTTGTCCTTGGGGCTTAGAGGAAATTCAGGTGTGGACCAAGACAAAACTATCTGGAAGTAATTCTTTATAATAAAAGAATTACAATTTATTAGTGTTGTCTGATTGAAGCCTTTCATAAGTATACATTTAAACCTTAATTATCAAGTTAGAATGATTGGTCAACTGACTTAAGTCATGATTGGTGTCCAAATTTGAGAGTATATAGCAGTTTTTTTGATAAAAATACAAATAGGGCTGAACAGTTCATTAATGAAGCCATAAGCGGTGTGGCTATTAAATAATAAAACTACTGTATTAATTACTTTTTGTTGAATTCAAGAAAAGTGAAACTTTCAGGCATTGTTTATGCTGCCCATTAACTGATGTATACTGTGTGGTTAAGAGTGCACCCTGTGGATCAACTAGTCCTGCATAGCAAGCTAGTTATGCAGTGCAGAATGGTCTGACTGCACCTCATTATCAAGGGAAGAAACACTCTGGCTTGTTTGTCTTTCTGAAAGCCAAGGATGCAGCTACAGCGTTCCTACAAAATGGTGATGGAGACGATAAGCACTGTCATTAGAATAGCTTATTTGCAAAAACATCAGAAAAAAAAAAAGTAGGGCTGAATTACTGCCAATCAAAATCCTCAGCAAATCTTGAAATTTCTCGTGGCAGGTTGCTTCTCTAAGGTTGTTCTCATTTCCTGAAATGTGGTGGGGAATTTTCAAACTGGAACAGGCCGATGGCGGAAGAATAGGCAAAGTCGTGTGAAACGCTTGGCCGATGCCAAGTCTGTACCCACAGTTGGCATCTGGTGAGTCGGGCTGGTTTAAGTAACATAAGACCAGTGGCCTCGGACATTTTGCAGCACGTCTAAACACTGTACTGTCAGTGGTTTTTCATATTCTTGTCTTCCGCTTTGTGTGACAGTGACGGTTTTGATAGTATTTCATGTGATAGCGGCCCATCATGTTTTAAATTCAACTTTTGCTTAAGCTTGACTTTTTTGAAATTACAAATCAAATTGTCATCCGTCAAAAACACTGAAATAAGATATTTTCCCTTTCAGTTCTAATAATACCAGATGGTGGCCTGTGACAATGTGTTCCGTAGTACCACTGCTTGTTTTCCCTCTAACTTCACTGGCCTTATGGTTTGTCATATTTACTACTGATGTTAGCAGAGACCCTCTTGATTTTAGTGGAGGCAGAACACCCTGGTCAGCTGGAGTCTGAGTAAAAGTTGCAGATGAACCTTTTTGAAGTTGAGACAAATGAAGACGGGTTTGTTGAGTTTGTAGTGTCAACCACTAACTCCGACTCTCTTGTCTTTATGATTGTTTTGATAAGCTATGTAGTTACCAGCCAGACTGAACAGGAGAAATTAGGAGTTTTAGTACATCAGATATTTTTTTCTGTAAGTGTTTTTTTGACATTTAATAACTGTCTCATTTTCAACGATACTCGCTGTGTCTGGCTCACTGTGGCAGAGAAAATATGACACAAATGCCAGTAATGCTCCGTAAAACTCTGAGGAGGGCACAACCACGTTGTTTGAACCTTTATCAGGATTGTCAGTGGACAACCTGAACAGGAGATTGGCTTCAGCATACACTATGAGGTCCATGTGAGCAGAGAAGTTAAAGGGTTCAGCTGCAGGAACCCCAATTAAGGGCTGTAGCGTGAATTAGCCCATCACACAGCGTCTGCAGCTTTAAGGGTTAATGCTGCTAAAGTGGAACTGGGGCTTTCACGTTTTTATGGGAGAACATCTGTGAGTACGTCGGCATAAATAGACTTTGAATGAAACTGCTTGGACCAGACATCCAAAAATCTCTGTTCACCATGATTAACGGCTGACATCTGGCATTTTGTTGACCGATTCTTATTCAGTAAATTAAATGTGCTACTTGTGCTCTGATGCAGCCGGCTCTCTCTTTGTAGTGACTGCGTGCTCTCAAGCAGTGTCCTGCCCACACTAGCACCTGATTGGTTACACGTCATGACAGTCAATCAATGACGGCTATTGTTTACACAGAGGGACAGACGAGTTCATTTGCAGAGGTGAATTCACGGAGCTGTGTTTGGAGTGGTGAAGTAGCAGACGTTACTGAAGCCGTATTAAACGTCGCAAACGCTCCAGTAGTTCAGCTGATGGTGTTAAAACGTGGTGTAACTATTGTGCTGCTGGTGCTGCCCTACGGTAATCACGATGAGGTTTGGTGTGCCTCTTTAGTCTGTGGCTGTTTGGAGGACTGTAATGTCTACCTGAAGTAAGTTCAACTAACATTGTGTTCGGACAGACGTGTCTTTCTCGAAGAAGAAGCACAAGCCATGACCACAATTGCTAAACTACACGGAGATTACCCTGAAACCGTCTGGAAAGAAAAAGAAATAATGCTTTTAAAATGTTCACTTTAGTAACAATAAAAGTGAAAACAGAACAGGAGACAGAACTTAAGAGGAGAAACTGTTCAATCTCAACAGAAGAGTGTTCTGACATATTCACTCCTTTTTCTATTGTACTTAGGTGTAGTAATTATCATCCATATTAATGAAAGTTTCATGTATAAATTTAGTAGTGGTGATCCTTTTTAATGACGCAACCTAGTTATTAATGACAAGTGCCCCGCTATCACATGATGTTAATGTTTAATATATATTGGTTTCCAGCTGCTCTTGATTACCAATAATCAACACTGGCTTTTTAAAAATCCTTATTAGTCGGTCCCTAATTGTTAGTTCAACAGAACGTTGAGTTTGCCGTCTGCAGCACAGTGTCTGCGCTGCTGGCTGCTGTCCGTGTTATTGAACTTGAAGTGAACGGTTCGATTTTGCAGCTTTAACCTCCATCATGTTTTTTGGTAAAAGACCGTCGTTGGTAATGTAACTGTTAAAAAACAAACAAACAAAAAAAAAACCAACAGGGCAGAAGATGAAGGATGCGTCTAGTATCTAAGCTGTAGTACCTGGCTGCACCAGCAGGTGGAGCCTCTCACTGTAAAGTGATATGGACGACTGCAGCTCGTTTGCTGTGTGTGGTACTGTCCAGACCTGAGGAGGTGGCTGCTCGGACTACTGGCAATGTTGGCAACGCATAGAACCATAGGAATGCTTGTGTCTACATCATGGAGGAGGGATGTTTGGTGTTTGTGTAACCAAGAAAATTGAGGTTTGGCTCGCAACATGGCACTGTGACAGACTCCTGTGACCAGCATATAAACCCACGTTTACTGCGACTGTGTTCCTGCAGCTGCATGGCCAATGAAACGGAGCCAAACTGGTGGTGAATGTCGTGTCTGTGATTTAAAATAGTTTCAACATGGAAAATTAGATTTTTCATGGAAAAATGTGCACTGGTTGTGATTTATTTATTATTTAAAAAAAAAAAGATATATCAATTATTGATGTTAAATTGGCACGGCGTCAGGAAAGTTGTTTACATTTTGCATCCCTCATATCAACATCAAGCGGTGCAGAGGAGCCTCCAGCTCACTTTCTGTTGTCGGTGCTGTGGAGGGACGGTTTGTTCTTTGTCTCAGTCTGCAACATACTATAAGTCGCCATCTGCGTCCTTATTCCAATAAAACTGTATTTCGGGGTCAGTTCTTGTTGGCTCAGACTCCAGTTAGGACAAGTCCTGACAACGGTTCCCTTGGAAGAAGACTGAGACCAGAGCTGGATACCATCCAAATGTTTTCATACCAGTGCCAGTTTAATATTCAGATAGAGGTACTGATACTAAAACAAGACTTTCTTTCAAGCTGCACTCGGCTCTACAGTGTGATCTACAGCAGAACTGACTCATTTTAGGGCCCATCAGTAGTGGACACACCGTTCACTGCTCAGTCGTGTTGTTCCACTCTGTTAACTGGACGCTGAACAGCTTCGGTGGTTCATTTCAGCCTCAGGTGTTGTGATGTCAGCGTGGACCCCGATTCCTCACCGTCCATCTGTCTCTCTCCACAGGCCTCAGCCACGTCACAGAAGGTCTGCTGCTGAGTTTCCTGGGTTTTGGAGCGTCATCGTCGTCCTCCTGAAGCGCCCTTGTTTGCACTGTGGGATGAGGTAGTAGGTTGTATAGTTTTAGGGTCACACCCGCACTGGGAGATAACTATTCAACCTACTGTCTTTCTCAAAGTGCCACACAGACATCTCAGCGGCGCCTATTCTGGAGACCTTCTTCTTCTTCTTCTTTTTCTTCAGAGTTTTAATGGATCCAGCAGCTCACGCGGAGTGAGGTAGTAGATTGTATAGTTTTAGGGTAGTGATTTTGCCCTGTTTAGGAGATAACTATACAATCTATTGCCTTCCCCGAGGAGTGGAATCTCTTCAATTTCTGGTCATTTTTCAAAGAGCTTCAGTGACGCTGCGTCACTTCACTAAAGGCTGATCTTCTGCTATATTTCCACACCTATAAAAAAGATGCATTTACTGAAATCACATGTATTTGGTTGTTTTCTCTGATGTCTGATTGCTTTTCCTTACATTTTGTCATCGTTGTTCTCCTTGAGCTTTCTAATAGCATCTGATCTAATTTAAAACAGTTGTGGACGAATAGATTAACAGCACCATCCTGAACTATGAACGTCCGGAGCTCGAGGAAGTCCCTCAGCATCAGTACCACAAATATGAATACTTGGATTTGAAGTAAAAAGATATTCAAAGCAAAGGTGTGAATGAAATGTGGTCCTGATGCTGACAGAATGGCCTCATAGTGTAGTTAGAAAGTTGCCGTTTTTCTAATGCAACCAGCAAACTTGCTTGTAAATCCCTAAGTACGTGCATTTTTCCATTATGTTTATTTTTAAATGTGCGTCTTGATGCCAACTTGGAAGCAGCAGCTACAAGCTATGTCCCCTAAACTGGCTCATTCACATCAGGTCATAGTTCCAGAGTTGTGCCAGCAGATGGTGTTCAAGTCCTTTGACAGCCCAATCCATCCACACAGCACCGCCGGGAATCCTTCACCGCTCAGAAATGTGAACGAGTACGTCTGATCTGATCCTAAACAATGAGTCTCTGCAGCTGTTATGTCATAGATGGGTTGTTGTTGGGTCAGACTGATATTAAATAAAGAATTTATGATATAAAATCAGTTGGTAAGATTTTTTTTTTTTTCAGCCGCTGCTTTGATTTCTGCACCATGAAGCTAATATGTTCCATTGTAATTAGCCTGTAGCTGTTTTAAGTCTTTACCTTGATGATGTTTGCCAGACTTTCTGTTCACAAGACTTAAATTAGGGTAAGCCACAAGTTGTAAATGTTCTATTACTAGTAAAAGGTGTACAGAATTTAAAATGCTGACAGTCCAGGTTGACTCAAAAGAGCAATGTAGTCGGTGTTACTGGTGTGTTTGAGATTCAATCTGCAGAATGAGGTCTGGACAGAGGAGCCCTCTGTCATTTGAAGAAAATGTATTGTTTTTAATGGAGAAATACTGGACATTTTATCATTCATAGTGGTTAAAAAGTGGTTCTAAATTCATGTTTTTATTGATGAATTAATATGTTTCTGATTTAACGGTTGCATCTGGATGAGCTGAAGCTAATTAGAGCAGTTTTTTTGTATTTAAAACGAGTGTTTCCTCGTCCCTTGCAGAATTCATACAAGTTCAAAGCATGTGTAAATGCACAACTGTACGTTTCCACCACTGGTGTGACGCCAGTTTGTTAACTGAGAATTAAAATGAAGATGTGTGAGGGACATGAAAGAGCCACTGAATGGACTGAGCTTGTGTTTGAAATCTCTGGAAGCCTTCATTTGCCTAAAAAGACTTAAAACTGTAAAGACACAACAATATGGCAGAAAAGGAAAAGAACACACGATTACTGCTAATATGTGTAAAATGACAACAGAGATGTAAACAGATGCAAAATAAATAAAACAAGACACACAACTACAATTAAAGTCACCACAGTGACACAAAACGGCCACAAACTGATGCAAAACGACTATCAACAAAAAAATAACCGCTAAGCAACACAAAATGACTGCAGAGATACAAACAACTGTAAACAGATGCAAAACAAACACAAAGACACACAATGTTCAAACACGATGCAAAAAGACCACAAAACCAATACCAACATAAATACATCAGAGACGCGTGCAAATAGACAAATAAATAAAATGTTGCAACAATGAGAGACAAAACAACCACAAACAGAACCAAACTGATGCAAAACAAACAAAAGACACACAAACGTGCAGACTTACTTTTTTTTTTGTTTGCATGCAAAAAGATCACAAAAACAAACAGTTGTGAATAAATGCATGAGAACTACCAACAAACAAAGGCTGCAAAGTGTCACAAACAAACAGACACGTGCAACACAACAACCACCTCCAAAGACTATCAATAAAAAGTGGCACAAAATGACACCAAACACCACAAAAATGATGCAAAAACTCTGACTTGCAGAAAGACTACTAAGAGACTGATGCAAAACGAATAAAGACATAAAACAAATACAAGAGACACAACTAAAAATGACGCAACAGGCCCACAGTGCTGCACAAAACAGCTAAAAGTGGCGCTAATTTGTCACATACAGAACGTGCAAAGTGAGCTAGGCAAGACATTATAATAAAAAAAAATCAGTGAAAACAACAGAGACACGTTATAAATAAGGAGGTGTTTGTTGTTGTGTTATGCACGATTACATACATATTATTTACAACAACTATAATTTATGTCCATGGCGGGACTCGAACCCGCGACCCGTCTCTAAACTTCACAGCAAGAAAAGACGCAAAACAAGCAAAGCGCGTCTCTGTGAATGTACAACGGGGTTAAAACCAAGCGAAGAGAGAACCAGTGGGAGGAGCGTTTATTGATGGAAATTTATTTAAAAAAAAAAAAAAAGAAAGAAAGTGTCACTGGTCCGTCAGTCTGTCCTCTGCAGCAGGACGAGCCGACATGTCCTCCAGGATCCGCGGCTTCTCCCACCGCGTTGTGTCGCACACGCATGAGCCGAGAGCGTGTACCTGCAGGCTGAGGAGTGTGTGTCCTCCGCAGAACACGCCCTGAGAGAGAAAAAGGTAGACTCACTCTCTCACTCCCTCTCACTCACTCACACACTCTCTCACACGGACGCACAACGCACTCAGCCTCCCGACCAGTGAGGAGCAAGAGCCGCTTCACCTGAACGCAACAGCCCCGATGCTCCCCCGCGGGCTCCCACCGGCGCCACAAATGAAATCAGTCCACTTCCACAAACTCTGGAGTTTAACCTCGTCTGCAGCTCGGAGCACCTGGACGCTCTGCGGGACCCGGCAGGAGAAATAAAAGCTGCTTGAGGAGCGTTCAAATCCTCCACCCTCCCCCCCCCCCCCCCACCCTCCTCTGGCCGGGCTGAGCACCATGAGCAGGAAGACACGCCGCTGGATTTTCCATTTTTTCCTCTGCCTTGGAATAGTGTATCTGAAAATCGGGTGAGTGACTGGAAGTAGAAAATAAACACCAAAAAATCTGCAATGCACTGCTGCTGGATTGAAAAGTCAGGAGAGCCTCCTAAAACTTAAACTGTATATTCTTTTTTTTTTCTTTCTGAAGCTTCCTCACTAATTCTTTATTCATATGATGCTTCTTTTCTATCAAGTATCTTTTATTGGCCTTATCAGTTTTTCTTTCTGTGGCAGGTAACAGCATAAAGTTAGAGTTATTTTCTCAATTTTTTATGTACAGATTTGATTTATTTATCACTTGGTTGCTAAAACAGTGAAAGATGCCCATCACCGCTTCCCACATTCACCCCCAGAAATGGCACCAATTGTTCTGTCAGGCAGCACAGAATCCAAAATATTACATGTGTTCTCATTAAAAAGGTGCAGAAATGCTGCAACTACTTACATTTGATTTTTTTTCTGTTTTTTGCTTAAACAGTCCTGTTATCAAAATAGAACCAACAGCCACAAATAACTGGAAAATGCTTCAAGAGCTTTTTTTTTTTTGCTAAAATTCTTTGGAAGTTTGATTGATTGATGCATTAATATGTAGCTGTGATGTTACTGTTGCAGCTGGAGGAGCTAAAGCTTTTTTTTTCCATTTTGTGTTGCAGAAATCATCCAGCGAGTTAAAAAACTTGAGTAAATGTCACTTTGTTAATTGAGAATTGAAATCACAGCTTCCCAAATCATAAAAATTGGACAGTACAGAACCTAAAATATTAAATGTTGGACCCAGAAATGCTGCAACTTCTTATGTTTGACCTTTTTTTGCTTGACAATGATCAATCAAGTCCTGTTATCTTTGCTAAAGTTCTCTGGAGGACCGTTCATAGTGCCTAAACTAGACATTTATTCTCGCTTCTTTGAGGCACTGATTGAAGAAAAGTTTTTTTTGTTGCATCACTGTGAAGAACCACTCTTGTTTTTTTCTGAGTGCATGTGTGGATCTTCACAGAACACCTGCAGTAGTGTAGATGTGCCAAAAGCCAAGACCAAGTGATCAAGTGTCTGTACACCTGCAGAACCCTCCGCCAGTAAAAAATGCCATATTTTAACCTTTCGCCTCCGCTGCAGGGGTCTGTCCACGGTGGTCGCGCTGGGAGCGAGCATCATCTGCAACAAAATCCCCGGCTTGGCCCCCCGTCAGAGGACTATCTGCCAGAGCCGACCCGACGCCATCATCGTGATCGGGGAGGGAGTTCAGATGGGGATCAATGAGTGTCAGTTTCAGTTCAGGCACGGACGCTGGAACTGCTCGGCCCTCGGAGAGAGAACCGTGTTCGGGAAAGAGCTCAAAGTGGGTACGTAGCTGTGCAAGCGCCAGGACAACACGCTGACTCGAGCAACTTTTTGTTTTTATGTCACTTAAAACTGCAGATATTATTCCATGAGGGGGTGTGACGAAGCTACTGTCTGGTTCAAATGGTTTAATTCCACTTAAATCTGATGCAGGAGGTCAACTAACCTACCTCCTTATTATCATATTACTATTATACTATTAGATTATTAGGCTACAGTGTGCCTCTAAAGTGCCATAAAGAAATCAGCTCAAACATGCCAACATGTCTTGATTCCCTTCGTTCCAGAGCTCGTGGGATTCTTTTAAATTAACAAAAGCGTTCTCACTGTTACTACATGTTTTTCTATTTATCGTCTCGTGCATTAAGTTTAGCATGTTTGCGGTGGCGTTCCAGCAGACGCAGGGAAAATTGCTCCAAATTGTCCGAAAACAGTCCGAGCAGACATTCCTCCGAGGTACTCGACCTCTGACACCGGGACAGATGTCTGCGGGTCTGAAGCCCCGGCTCGGTTGCATCTGCTTTCGGTGGGAAAATAAGCCTCAGATTTGATCCTGTGTGTGGAATAAGGCTGCAGGCGATGCTCGCTCCCGAGACGGCGCTGCGGAAAAATAATTTTTTAAACAGGCCGGTTTTCCGCTGTCTTGTCCTTTAAGTTCACCCCGTCATCTCAGAGACACACATGCAAAAAGCCCGGGTGTCATTTTTCACTTTGGGTGTCATTAAGGATTAGAAGCTCCCGTCTCTGTTGCTGTACACCCGTGGCTTCATGCTGAAATGGTTTTGTAGCTGCAAGAAATACACTTTACCAACACACACAGTCTGATCTGATGCACACAGTCAACAGCTGCAACATACCTACATGCTCTGTTTTATCCACTCTCAGCTCAACCGCCTTCATGTATGTTCATAAAATACCGCCTCCCCCTCTCTTCCCAAAAGCTTCAAGTTCAGACAAGTACTTTCTTCTAGGTTTACAAATTTACCTCCAGGTTCTGCAGCTTTGGCAAGAGACGCTTTATGTAGAATGGTTTTAGTCCGGCGCTTCGGGGCTGAGCTGCACTTTTCATCGTCAAATTCAGGCAGCGAGAGAAGATCGTCGCAAACGTTTCTGCGTCACAGAATCCTAATTTTATCCGAGTTTCGGATGAGTCGCGGGGCTGGGTTCCAGGTCGAGTACTCGGGTCCGGCTGCCCTGCACAGACTCTGTGTGAATCCATTGTTTTATTTCAGCAGACTGGAACGCTGATAACTGACAGAATACATAAATTTGGGATTGTTGTTGGCAGTGATGCAGCAGTGTACAGTGTTTTGGCATCAGGATCAAGTATCCTCCCCACCCACTAAGTTGGCTGCTTGAAGGAAATCAGCGTGAGTGCTCGCTTCTTCTTTTCTCGCAGATCATACCATTGAAAATATCTCGCAAATGTAAAGCCGTGATGCTGCTGGGTTTCGGAGGAAGTCGAGTGAGCGTCGCGGCAGAACAAAGAATCACGAAAACAGCAGCTCAGAAGCTTTGACCTTGAACGTCTGGAAGGTCTCCACGGAGGTTTAATAGTTAAACATGTTGACTTAATTGGTGGTTTCTGTATTCTGTCCGTGTGCGCTCCAACTGGAATTATCTCCATTTTAATTAAAAAACTGCAGTTGAGCTGAAACGCTCAGATTTATGGAGTGGAAATCCATCCATGTAGGGAGGCTGTGCATGCCTCTCAGATTCACCTCCGCAGGGTGGATCCCAGTGTGACGGCAGCTGGGACAAGAGCCAGAACTGATGCCTAAACATTTAATCTTATATCTCCCACGGAATGGTTTCAAAAATGCAGACGTACCGTTCGTGTGTGTTCAGCGGATTGACATGAGTTTGGTGAAACAAAGAAATGTTGTAAAGACCCGCGAACGAATCTGATCAAAACTTATCATAAATGCAATAAAACTTGATCCTTTGATTCAAACTATTCTATTACATTTTCTCCACCATGCGGAGCTTCCTCCTGAGGGTTATCTGCTCAAACAGAGCTTGATTAATGAATTGGACTTGACTTGGCTCATGTATTTCATGACTTGGTTTGAGGCAGCTATGCCAGGTATGTAAGGAGGCTTGACAGTGTCTGAAATACTGAATCCTGTTGTCTGTGATTGTGGTTAAAAAATGTCTTTTCTCTTTATCGCAGGCAGCAAGGAGGCTGCGTTCACCTACGCTATCATAGCTGCCGGGGTCGCCCATGCAGTCACGGCGGCCTGCACCCAGGGGAGCCTGAGCGGCTGCGGCTGCGACAAGGACAAGCAGGGTTTCTACAACCAGGACGAGGGCTGGAAGTGGGGCGGCTGCTCGGCGGACATCCACTACGGCCTGGGTTTCTCTAAGGTGTTTGTGGACGCGCGGGAGATCAAGCAGAACGCCAGGACTCTCATGAATTTACACAACAATGAAGTGGGACGCAAGGTATGTTTGTGGAGGACGTCACTAATCATGCAGGAGATTCTGAGGGATGTGAAGTGCTAAGATAATGCAAAAAAAGTGCACAAACTAACAAACAAGCAGAGGGAGCGTGGCTGGAACAGATCTGATAATAAGCATGCACGCTGTAAAGACAACCCAGACAAGTTAGGAAGTAGCCAGACACCTGTGCATTACACACACTGCTGTGCACAGTGTAAGAACTACCTCAAAGCGGAGAGGTTGCTATTGATTTTAGAGATGATTCATTCATTGATTCAACCTTTTCTTTCATTACCTTAACTCCGGGGATCAGTTTTGGGTAGAGTACCAGGGACGGCTGCAGCATGGGCAGCCTCACACCACTGAATCCATGCTACTGGTTACTCAGACAGACATGCTAGAATACCATGACTGATATCAGATGCAACATTGCAGATCATTGCCTTATTAGTTGACACATGCAGATTCACACCCACAGACTAGCTCAGTACTCATAGCTATGAACTAAGTACATTCGTAAGCTGATCTTTTTCTTTCTGTTTTGGCCTTCCATACAGACGAGCTGCTTTTTTTTCTCCCCTGACAACAGAGCTGTTCCAAACTGAGTGTTTTGATGTATAAATCTGAAAAACAAACACAACAATAGCTTTGCTTTGCCGACTTTATTCTATGGGTGTACAACGGAGAAGGCTTTTTATTATGATGATGTCATGAAAGTACAACTTTTCTAGACTCTGGGGAGAGATTACAAAACTAACATTTCCAAGGATTAAATATTCCTGTTAGAAACCAACCTTGTTTCATGGTTTCAGCAGTTTTACAGAGGTCTCTTTTATAATGGTGTTGTATGGGGATCGTGTGTTGTTGCTTTGTAGTCGTTGATAACTTCTGAAAGCAGTTTGACTTCTGGTTGTTGGGTGGCAAAGTTCAGACTCAAAACTTTCCCTGACGGTTATCTGTAGTAACATATCAAAAATGGCAGGAAGACACAGTGGGAATGGAAATCGTATATGTTGTTGTTTCTTTGTTGGCAGGCTCGCTTGTATGTCGTCCATGCACTGATATTAGAAAGGAACTACCTGCTTTGGCGTTTTATTGGTGACCAAGTTGTTTGCAGAAATGTCTGTGGAATAGTACGATACGATACGATACGATACGATACGATGCGATACGATACGATACGATACGATACGATATGATACGCCTTTATTAATCCCACTGTGGGGAAATTTGCAGTGTTACAACAGCAATGAGGATCATGCAAGCATTTAGTTAAAAAAGACAAATAAATAAAAACATACATAAGTACTACTTTAGATAGTCCAAACTCCTCTGGATGGAAATAACAATATTGTACATATCAGTGGTAGATCACAGATTCTTTCATGAGTTAAAATACTGATAGGGAAGGATTAATATTGCACAGATTCTAGTAGATGTAGAAAAATTGATATTGAGTTTTTAAATGTACAAAATGTTCATAATTTGTAGCTTTGAATGTGTTGATCTTGCAAACAAATTGTTCTGGGTTTTGCGTTTTTTGAAATTATTTTTTTTTTTTTTTTGCCCCGTTTCCGGAAAAAAGATACAGCAAAATAAAAACAGGCTACTAGTTGCGCGATTCACAAGAAAGCAATATTTATATGATGAGATTTAAGATATAGAGATAAAAAGTGATATTAAAATATTAATTTATTTCGTGTACGGTTCCTAGAGCAGTTTTTGCAAAGCACAAAATGATTTATTGCCTTTGTTTATTTATTTGTTTATTTAAAAGGATCCCCATTAGTTGACGCCAAGAAGTCAGCTAGTCTTCTTGGGGTCCAGACAATAAAATATCAAAAATCAAGCATGACAGTCTCAAGTAAAAATAGAACAAAAAACAACAACAACAAAAACACACAACAACAAAATAAATGTGTTTGAACATTGTTGTTCTTCAACCATCAGCCCAGAATATTTCTTTTGAAGTCAGGCAACGAAAAGCAGCAAATAAAAACACGAGAAGCTTTAAATGGTTAATGTTGGGAAGTTGTTTTTTTTTTAAAGAATGCACTAAAATAATTAATTGATTTTCACAGTAGTTACTGATTGATTTTCTGCCACTATATAAAAATCTATATAATTTTTTCAATAAATCAAATAATTTGGCTTTCAGCACAGCAGATTTTCATATCATCAGATATATAGATGTCCAATCAGCTTATTAGTTTTTGTAAGATTATAAAAAATATATAATCAGCAGCCACTGGTTGTGGTCAGTGTAAGTTCCTAAAGTCAGTTCGAGAAAACTGAGTCTAGAAATTCTGTGTGTCTGACGAGATGAACACTGGGGTGAAGCACAGAGCATGACCCTCTGGGAGAGCATTATCCAGACTCTGATGTTGTTTTCCAGCAGACAGACGTAGGGAGCCAAATGACAGATCAATAGAAATTGCAGGGATATCCTCAAAATGGCCCTACAGGAGAGCATCGATTGAAAGAGCAACCGAATCCTCCGCTGTCCTGAGCATGAAAGCATTGCCTTGGCTTTATGCTACGTCTCATTGTGGCGCTGAAGGATGAACCGTGACCCCAGTTTCAGGTCTCCTCATTCAGTGTTAGCCAGTCTCTTTATCCCTGCTGCTGGGAATCACCCTCATAGAATGATGCTGCCACTACCGTGCTTCACCGTTGGGATTTTTAAATGTCATTTGGCAGACTGTCATGCCTTTTACTCCAGTGGCATCCTCCTAGTCGCTCTACCATAAAGGCCTGACTGGTTTAGTGCTGCTGAGATGGCTCCTGCCTCCAAGGAACACTAAAAGCTTTCGGAAATAGTTTTATACCGTTGCCCTGACTTGTGCTTCACCACAGTTTAATTGTAGAGGTCTACAGAATTGTGACATACAGTGTGAATTGTTAAGTCTTGCAAACACAAGTCTTTGTAAACTGAATAATCCACTCAATTTGCAGCAGGTAACCAAACGTTAGCCACATCTGAAGGATAAATAAAGCAAAAATAATGAACCTGAACACAACAAGAGCCACAGCAAAGCATCGTAATATTTTGTTTTTTGATTAAATGTATAAAAACCTGTTTTCACTTCATCATTAGGGACCAATGAGTGTTGAATGATGGGTTGATTTTATCCATTTAAACTAAAACCTTCAACAGAACAAACCAGTAGGACAGCAGTAGTTGAAGCTCTTTTTTTTTTTTTAACCAATTCACTGCTGAAACACAACACACAATGTATCTTAGTCTGATACATGCATTCACTGTAAATTTTTGGATTTGAACAGATGATTACAATTTGGATATTTAGTGTTTTTGCCCCATGTTCAAGGATGTATCTGCTTCTGTAAGCTCATAAACATCCACAACAGTGAATAAGTGAATTAGCTCGTGGATTAACCAAATGGGCCAAATATCTGCTTTTAAATGTGAGAATGTGGTGCATATACCTTTTTTAAAAAAAAATTTCACCATGTTGCTGGTCAGTGGTTGGAAGCATTGTTCCTCTGTTCCAGACAGATCGTTGTTAAGCTTCGTAGAAATGTGATGGCTCTGGGATAAATGAATCCTGGCTGAATTTGGAGAGACGCTGCCTTTAAATCTGGCACCACCAGAAGACTGACTTTAGTCGTTCTGAGTAAAGTTTGGATGGAAATGGATCACAAGTCCAGATATTCATGTCCTCCTCAAGATGAAACTATGACTTGTCCACCATCTGTAAATGCAGCATGGTGAATATTACATCTTCTAAATATCATTATGAATGTGTGAGCTGTGCCTTAGTGCAGCTTCACGGAGCTGCAAACATCTCTGAGGACTCTTTTGGTTCGTCTGGTCTAGTAAAAACGGGTAAATTGTTCACAATTTTCTTGCATTGTAACGAATAAACCCATAATTATAGTAAAAACCAACAGAGTGATGCAGTCAAAGTCAATCAAGTCCTGTTTGATGTCATGCATATCATCAGATCATGGCGTCAGCTTGTACATGGTGATGATGAAAACCATAATTTCCTTGTAGTCAAGATGAAGTATGAAGTCCTGCAGAGCCCTTCCTTCCTAGATGTGATTTCTGTTTGACAGACTCAAAAATATCTTCTGTCTTTTTCCAGATTTTCTCGGTGTGCACATCTTTCCGTCAGAGGAATATCCCTAAAATGTTGTTTTCAGAGGGCTGTGCATGTAAAACCGTGAAGCCTCTCTGGACGAGGCTTCATATTTGAGGTCTGGCATCAGTCACAATGTGATACAGTGTGTGAATCTCTTAATATACACTTACTAAACTGATACCTCTGTAATTATTGTTGCAACGCTTTCATGTTTAATTGGAGATGATGTCAGTCTGTGTGTTTCGAGTGCCAACCTTCAAATTTCTTGAGAAGAATAAACAACAGTGTAAAGGTGCCACGGGAGGCTTACAGGGGTTCTGCTAGACAAACAATGGTAGCTTCAGTGGGATTTCACTTCAGTGAACTCCATGAATTAAATGTTTGTCGGGTCTCGGGGGCATGACCACACTAAGCTGTATGCATCCAAGGCTTTTGACAATTACCCTACGAGACTCCAGAAAGTCTGAGGCCACATCGGAGTGGAATAATTAAAAAGCAGGGTGAGGCTTCTCTAATGCCAGCAAGGGTTCCCACTCAGGGAGGAGGAAGGAGGGTAAGCTGATGTCATTCAGCCTGAGGCGCACAGAGAATGCCCCGGCCGCGTTGCCAGACACAGCCGAAAGGTCCCACTCCTAAACCGTGAAAAGGCTTTTCACCACTGTCTGCCCGTCTGCTCGCTATAAATGTCCCCATGTGGTGACAAACCAAACTGTCTCTTCAGTCACCACAGGAACTCGTAAACTAATCCAACCTCTGTCTCCATTCATCACAGTTTTGTGGACACGCTGCCAGTTTACCCATTGTTGTTGTCCATAGTAAAGCTGGTCAGAATAATAAAACTACAACAGATGACGACAGATGCATGAATCTTTTTAGAACGACTAATGAGACGATTTTAAATCTGATTTGGAAATGACAACGTTGGTGCTGAAAACCCATCAGTCATGCAGTCTGTGATAGACTTTAATCCTCAGTCTGTACATCCAGTTACTGCCATTTGGCCTCATATCTTTTTTTTTTGAATACATATTTGTTGTACCTGACATTGCCAACCAATGACATTACTTAACTGAAGTTACCTTTGTTTTACAAAGTTCTCATACCTCCAGTATGCTTTGTTGCTCTACAGTCCGTCATGCCTGTTGTACCATGATCTCAGCCTAAAAGCAGATTCATCTTTGCTGTGTATGTAAGGATACGCAAAGGTATGCATGACGAAATTACCCAAGTCCGTCAGAGCTGACTTAATGGTCATCCACGTACAGCTCCAAATATGTGACAACACAGACTCTGTTTGCACCGATGACGCTTAAAACAAGGAATTTCTTTGTCATCCATATCTTTATATTTCATTAATAGAGTTGTAGTTTAAGTAGTTGTTGCAGGACTATAGAGGAGCTTTAATGTGTACATGATTTCCATCAATGATGCTCAAACACATTAGGAAGTCCTAATTTCTCCAGAGGTCCTGTGCTATGTCCACTATAACTGCATTGGAACACCAATCTTTACTACTTGCCATATCCTTTAAAAAGTCATAGCCAGCCTTTCATAAGCATCCACAAGGGTGTGTATTTCCAACACTGCACCACATGTAATGCATCTTCCGCTGTCCAGAGGATTGTTGGCCATCCTAGACTTGAATTCTATGACATGATGTAGTTGGACATTGTGGTGTTTTTGACGTTTTTACTGGACCATAGCAAATCTTTTTTTGGCGTGCTACATATTATGGTAGTATGAGTATTGGGATGCACCCATAGTACAAGTGCATTCATTCACCACTCCCTAGTTATTTCATATAGTCTCAATACTTTACCGAATAGTGATGGGTGAATGGAAATCCCTAACACATACAGGCATCGTCTGCATGCAATCAAAGATGCTCTTTTGGACATTTTTTATTGGATACTGTGTTTGTAACTTTCACACTTGGTTGCTTATAATATTGGTGCTACAGGAACTTTGTCATTCTTGAAATATGCCATCCGATTTCAGAAGTTTTAAAGATGTCGGCCATTAGAGATTTGTCAGTTGGTACCAATTACCAATGTAATTCTTTTTTTTTTTTTAAAAATATATTTTTTTGGCCTTTGCCTTTATTTAGAGTAGTAGAGAGAGACAGGAAAGGGGGGAGAAGAATGGGGACAGACCTGCAGCAAAGGGTCGTGAGCGGGATTCGAACTCACGACCGCTGCATCGGGGAACTACAGCCCCTGTTCATGGGCCACCCGCTCTACCAGGTGAGCTATAGGGGGGCCCACCAATGTAATTCTAAGTACCAATCAATCAAATTAAATGAATTCCACATACAGACCTGGGTGTCAGTGTTTCAACTGCTTAGCTAAGTTAGTTTGTTTTTGTCCAGAAGGCTCTGTGACACTGTTTGCATTTTGGCAGCTTTGCAAACAAAAACTAAGTCCATGCACGATTCTTGGTATGTTTTTTTCACAAGCTAAAGCCGACTAGTTGTTCCACCTGTACTTTCAACTGCATGTTGTTGTTAATGTTGTTACCTGCAGTACCACAGAAAAACAAGTGCTGTCATGTCTTCAGAGTTGTGACATCGACTTGGTCCCGTAGCATCGATGCTTGCCACATCCCCTCCACATAACAGGACATGCAGAACGTTAGAGTTTGTCTACTTTTGTATCCGGGGTTTCTGCAGGGCTTAAAATACATGTGAGGTTTTCATGGACATTTGAACCAACTCACAGAATGCAGCGTGCAATACCCTTTTGATGGTCATCAGATCAAAGATTGATGGAAAACCAATAGTTTGTTGGGTCTGACTGATCCTCAGAACAGAATTTAAAAACTTCTCGTAACACAGTTTTCTAGTTTATCGGTGAATCTCCTGACAGCACACAACCACATATAGACACATCTATAGTTAATCTGTTTATGGCAAGACAGGAAAAAAATACCCCACACCTTTTTAAGACAACTGAATGTTTTAAAGACTTTTCAAGGGCCTGCAGATATTTCATGTATGAGTACATATCTTCCACGAGTGTGTTTTGAAGCTCATCCTGACTTGTAAAAGAATGGCACATGCATAGCTACTAGCCATAGGGTGACATACTGTAGCAGCTCTGAGATCCCTGGAATGCTTACATTCATCTGGAATGCTAGAAAACTTTTGTCTCAACCTGTTGGACTGTTCATGCAATATGTTGAGTATTTAGGGGAACTCATATGTTCCCCACCTGCTCAATTTGGAAAGACGACAACCGACTGCTGAAATTGTGCAAAATTTAAAAAAAAAAGACATCCACACACTTCTTTTATTGGGATGAAGGTATTAATCAGTTGCACACTTTTCAGTCCCTTGCTTCATCTGAGCTTTTCCTCAATATTCTAGGTCCTGGAGAAGGGCATGCGTCTGGAGTGCAAGTGTCACGGCGTCTCCGGATCCTGCACCACCAAGACGTGCTGGACGACGCTCCCCAAGTTCCGTCAGCTGGGATACATCCTCAAAGACAAGTACAACCAGGCCATTCACGTGGAACCAGTGCGAGCCAGCCGCAACAAGCGCCCCACCTTCCTGAAGATCAAAAAGCCCCACTCCTACCGCAAGCCCATGGACACGGAGCTGGTCTACATCGAGAGGTCGCCCAACTACTGCGAGGCCGACCCCCTGACCGGCAGCATGGGGACGCAGGGACGTCTGTGCAACAAAACGGCTCAGCAGCCCAACAGCTGCGACCTGATGTGCTGCGGTCGGGGATATAACACGCACCAGTACTCGCGCGTTTGGCAGTGCAATTGCAAGTTCCTGTGGTGCTGCTACGTCAAGTGCAACACCTGCAGCGAGAGGACAGAGGTGTATACCTGTAAATAGAGATATTTATTGGACCGTTCTTTAGACGCACGGCAAGACTGGACTGTGTCTGCACGAGCGCGTCGTTAATGTGATTCACGACGAGGGTTTTTCTCTGTGGCTGTGGAGGGAGCGCCTCACTGAGTTGGCATGACAGCAATCATAACTGCATCATCCAATTTGTGTTGATTATAATGATGCCAATGGACATCTGACTAGACACTGGACTCCACCTGTAGGCTCATAAATGTTATTTTTTACGTTTCAAGTCGAGCGCCATTTATTTGCCGCATGCTTAACTTCTTTGCGGGACATACTGGTCTACTGGCATAACTCACCTCACACCGTAATAGTTTTTTTTTTTTTTTTTGTAGACTAATAATTTATTGAATGAAAAAACTACTGATCGTTTTGAAAAGTCACTGTCAATTCATTAATCTGGTAAAGTGGTAAGTTGGTCAAGATGCCTGGTTTTCAAATCAAGTGCACTTAAAAGCTTAAAGGACTTAGTTTTTTTTTTCTTTTTTCTTTTTTTTAAGACAATTTAAACACTGGAGCTGAAAACTGAAACAGAACTGAACAGGAGTGAATGGCACATTATAGACCCTGCAGCTCTTTTGCGTTAAGCCCAGCAGAAGAACATTAAACTACTGATCCTGGGCTTGGTATGATAGTATTGTTTTCTTCTTGTTTCTGTCCCACTCCCCCCTCCAGTTTGCTGCTAGTTGTCTGGAAAGTTCTGGAGTTTGTGAACCCGAGCAGCCATATTGACTCTTCAAGCTATCCGCCAGGAGCAAACGCAAGCTTCCAGACATAAATTGCCCTTAATGTTGGCTGATAGAATATATTTTGTAAGAGATTATTTTTATATAAATATTTTTTTTAATTTATTTTCTATCACTGTGTAAGATATTTTCCCTTTAGCATTTCTAGCGGTGAGGTTACTGAGTTTAGCGAAAGGAAACGACCCATTGAAGCACTGGTTTAAAGAAAAAAAGTGTCTTTTTTTTTTTTTTCCTCAGCAAAATATCATAATGTTACACTGAATTGTGCGTTATCGTTCAGGAAAACTCTTGTAGAGAGCCGAAGTCCTAATGTCACCTCGACGCTATCTGCTGTTCCATTAGCTTCTATGAGTCCGCGCTACCTCTGGTAGAAATGTTTTTCCATCTGTCAAATAAAACATGTTTTTGGAGTTTAATATTCATATTCTGATATAACTTTAATGCATTCGCCATAAGAATTTCAACTCACGTTATCTAGTTAAGCAAATTACACAACAATTGTACCATTAGCATGCTAAAACCAGCCGCTTGGTACACTTATAGCAGAAATTACACTAATACAAAACCTGTCAACAACTCCATCTTTCCTGGCTGCTCCCCTGTAATTACCCTCCTCATCTGTTGGCCAGCCGTTTAAACATTATTAAAATTATTCTGCCGTTTTTGAACCTTTCCTAAATAAATGTGAGTGTATGGCCCATTGATGGTAGGCGTAACCACCTGCTTAATTTCATGTGTTGCACTGACTTCACAAGTTGTAGCATAAAAGACGGATGTAGCCTCTGGGTCAGCTAAGCTAAACCATCTGCCTTTAAACTGCATTCTTTGTAGGAGCCAGTAGGGGGCAATTGCTCTGGCTGGGGGAAAAAATACATTGATTGTATAGAAGTGGTGAAAATGAACATATTTCTCACTTGAGTTATTATCTCAGCAATTTTCTTTTTAAACGGGTTTTGGTCTCAATCAATGGTTTCAAGTCTTCTTCAATACAGCACGGTACCAATTTTGTAAACTACAATCCCATTTAAAGTAAAATAGATGATGAAGTATGTTGCAGGGCGGGGCTACTTTGTGGCTGACAAGTTGCTACTGTACCACCATGTGTAGTGTCTTAATCAGTTCCTCAAAACAGTTGCCCACGAACCAATAGGTAACGTCATGGTAGCTCCCATCATGTATAATATCCAACCTTAAGTGTTTTGTCATCTGAAAAAGGCCATTACCCTACCTCACATTTTAGAGAAAGTGATTCAGGCCCACCCCATAAATCCACCAAATTTCCTGAAATTCTACTTGGTAGTTTTTACGTAATCCTGCTGAAAGAAGGGAATACTTAACGCCACCTTAGTGGAGAAATGAGAAATCTCAGTCCATTTATGGCTTCACCTACATGACACTGTTGTCTGAGGTGATGTTCCAACACAGTTGCCCGTAAATGTGCCATGAATGAGATATTAGAAATAGCACCCAGAAGTAATGGTTTCACTTCGGCTCTCTATGAGGTTTACCAGTTTTTCCCTAACACCGACTACAGCTCTCTTATGAACATATTTAAGGCACAACATGTCTTTAATTAGACTGTAGAAAGTAGATGAAATGGCTGTGACATGCAAAGGTCGCTGAGTAAATCAGGGATGTTAGTTTCAACATTAAAAAAACTAAATTAAACAAAGAATAGAATCAAATAAAATTAAAGCCGCAAGCGGCGATGGACGGGTCCT